ACGCTTAACTGACTGAGCCAAGCCACTCAGGGGCCCCTCTCCAGATGAGGTAACAAATTAACGATCTCAAATGAGTAAAAAAACTTAAAAGCCCCCATGGTTCCATGGGCAAGACGTTGTGAGGGGCCACCTGGGTGGCACCTGGGAAGGGGGTCCTGCACTCTCCAACAGGGAGAATCAGGGATGGAAGGGAGAGACGGGCTCCACTCTGGGTGTCTGGGACAAGGGCCTGGGATCAGGAAGAAAGGTCTGGGCATCCCACCACGTAGGTGAGGGGGATCAGCAGGAAACTGTGCTCAGGGATGCTGGGCAGAGGGAATGCAGGTGGGAGAGAACAGGAACCCTGAGAGAAGTTCAAGTCCATTTGCGACAGCGGACAGGGAAGAGTGGATGCCACTCCCTCCAGGAAGCCCTCCAAGCCTCGCAACAGTATCACAGACTTCTCACCAGAGGGAAGGGCTAAATCCACACTGCAGACATATCCCCAGAACCAAGTGGGGGTAAGTGAGCCCTGCGGCCACCACTCGCTCAACATGACGCTCTGTGAAGGACCAAATGGGGTTCAAGCGAGGGTCTAGTGTGTTCACTGAGGGAGCCCCACACCTGCAATGCTGCGTGGAGCACCCAACGTCTTTTTGCAAAGTCCATGAAAAGCCACTGAAAACAGCAGCCGTGTGAGCCGGGCAAAGCACACGGTGCGAAGTACCCAGCGCAGCTTTCCAAAACAGACGTGTGAGGGCATCTGGGTGGCTCAGTGGGAAGTCAGATGCTCAACTTCGGCTCAGGTCAGGATCTCACGGTTTGTGAGTTCAAGCCCCGCGTCAGGCTTGCTGGTATCAGCACAGAGCGATCGTCTGTCCCCCTCTCTCTCTCTGCCCCTCCCCTGCTCACACTCTCACGCTCTCTCAAAACTAAATAAAAAGCATTTAAATAAACAAATAAAAAACAGATGCGTGAACAAAAGACCAGAATAAAATACATCAAAATGCTAATAATATTTGTAACAGACACTGAAATTATGAATGCTTATTTTCCAAAGACCCACTAACATGTGGTTATGTTTCAAAATGAAAAGATAAAGGGTGAAAAGAAAGGAAAACAAAAACAGCAAAGCAGGAGGTACTGTCTCCCCACAATCAGGAGTCACACGTCACTCGAGCACTTCCAAGCTCCCACTTACAGAAGGATGGTAAGTGACGATTTACTTACAAGTGGCTTATCAACCCCACGGCGTTGGCACAACGGAGACAAGCGGGCTCTCCCAGACCACCTATGACAGAGACAAAGAAAAAGCAAGAAAATTCGTGTCAAAACAGGCGTTTCACACCAACACTACCTTTTAGAGTCCGAAAGGGCGCCCCGTGTCTTTCACAGAGTAAGTGTCTGGAAGCGTGTTCTGAGTGCCGGAAGGTTTCAGGGTGTTGCTAAGTGAAGGGACACATTAGGAACACAGTGTCTTGGGGCAGCTCTAGGGAAGAAGGGGGACCTGAGGCAGCCCCTGGCCTCACGCACCCCTACCGGGGACGCCGGGTTCCACCAGCCGAGGGCCCGGAGCTCGGGCCTGAAGTCTCCCCCGGCGGGACCCTACTCGCTCCGGCCGATGCGCAGTTGCGCGGGACCCCCGAGTGCACAGACAGCCCCACAGGGCAAGCAAGGGCCTGATCCAAAGGGTCCCTCAACTTCTCTGCCCACAGGAGGGTGAGGGTTATGAGAACCACTCGTAGACCAAACACCGCAAGTGAACCGTATCTTGGATAAACACTACCGCTGAGCGTACAGCACGCTTTTAGGATTTTCGTGTATTTTTGACACTTTCCCTGAGCATAAATTCCAAGTCCAGTCACACGACCTGTGCTCAGACCCTGTGCTGCGGACACAAGCGGTGGAGGGGACAAGATAGGCACTGGCAATCCTGGGGCGGCAGGGCCACAGGCACCGTGCTGGCAGGGCAGAGCGGGGCTGGAAAGGCGGGCCAGCACCCTAAGACCCTCAGGCAGCAGGAGTGCACAGAGCGGGCTTGGGGTGCCGAGGCCTTACTCGGGGAGCCAGCGTGAGAAGGGAGGAGAGCAGACAGGCACGGCAGGGGACAGGTGCCGACTCCTGGACAAGCTCGGAGCAGACCAGGCAGGGCACATCCAGGCTGCTCCCAGTGGATCCTCTGGGGACACACACTTCCACTGGTCACTTTATGTAACTCAGAAGGAGCCTGATGTCATCATAGGCAACTCTCATATTCCCATCAAACATTAAATTTAGGACCTTGTAGTATGAGTGACAGCCTTGTTTTAAGCTGGCGTCTGGGCTCACATGTGGTCACTGTGGTTCATAAAGTAACCTTTTCCATTTCAAACACTACACTTCCAATCACATCAAGTCTTTCTCACAAAACAAACAAAAGAAAAGGACTTAGAAGGAAAGAGCGGCCCACCCATGAACCTGATCTCAAGTTATCCCCATCACCTCCCCTAATGGGGCCAGAGGGTCAGGAAGCCTTCTCTGAGTGGGGAGATTGGAAGGACCAGGTGGGACCGATGCACAGTTCACACAATGTAGAGATGGGGGGGTAGGGCCAGGCAGCCTGGGAGCTGTGATGGCTTGTAAGCCTGGGCTGGGGGCAGCTGGGTGCAGCCGGGGTTGCAGGACAGGGCCCAGGTGGGGGGTGTGAGCATAGGGCAGGGTGTGGGGGCACCAGGATGTAAATGCGGGTGGGGGTGTCCAGGTGGGTGCTGGGGGGAGTGTGCAGGAGAAAATAGCCCAGGAAGAGGATGAGGGTAAAAGTAGGCAGGGATGCGTGAAGAGAGCAGACCCAGGACAAGGGTGGGGTGTGTGCAGGGCAGGGGGGCCGGTCCAGCTTAGGTGTGTGTGTGTGGGGGGGGGCTGTCCAGGGGCTGCAAGGCGGGGAGTGTGCAGGGCAGGGGGCTGGTCCAAGTCTGGGAGTCTTGTTTGGTCCTCAGCTAGA